CCGGTTGGATGTACTGCCAAATTCTCTGAAAAGCCTTTGGAGATGGCTTATGGTAGATAAATGAACATTCAATTCACGGGCAACAGCTCTGGTGGACATTCCTGCAGTCAGCACGCCAATTGCACGCTCCCTCAAAACTTGCGACATCTGTGGCATTGTGCTTTGTGATAAAACGGCACATTTTAGAGTGGCCTTTTATTGTGGCCAGCCTAAGGCACACCTGTGCAATAATCATGCTGTCTAATCAGCATCTTGATATGCCACACCTGTGAGGTGGATGGATTATCTCTGCAAAGGAGAAGTGCTCACTAACACCGATTTAGAGAGATTTGTGAACAATATTTGAGAGAAACAGGCCTTTTGTGTACACAGAAAAAGTCTTAGATCTTTGAGTTCAGCTCATGAAAAATGGGGGCAAAAACAAAATTGTTGCGTTTATAATTTTGTTCCGAGTATGTCACTTTGAGACAATGAGCCATTACTATGTAAGTCCAGTCATGCAAAAAACATAATAGCCAAAGTGACTTCTTAACAGTCTGTGCTTTACCTCTGTAATTCAATTTAGGAAGCAGCTGATGGATGGACGAATAAAATGTTATTTTGTTTGCCAAGGCTTTAGGGAAAGAGCAAGGTAAGTGATTTACAGTGTACTTGGCTTTAGAGAGAGTTGCTTTCATACTCGTTCCTTTTCAAACACTACAAACGCTGTTATTATTTTAACTGTTGCCAGTGGAAAACAGGAGGCATTCATTCTAACCCGTTGCACTTAGTATATTGTCAATACGGAAAAGATCAAGTGGTAAGCGCTTTATAATACATTAGCGTGCAATATACATTCATGTGGCGGACACGTTATAATATAATTCTGCATTCGAGGCTACTGGATGTTCAAAACATCCTCCTCCACTTACTGTATATGAGAATGCATAACTCTGGAGGGGGAAGAAAAAAAAAATCAGTTTTCCCAAGAGAAAAATGACCAAAGCTGAATTTAAATCTGAATATGTTTGCAATACGACAGCCATCCAGCGCCCTGAAATGAATTGATGTGAAGAGAATCAAATTCTGGAGCAGAAAAAAAAGCATGGCTCCCCCTGCTATACTAGAGAATAGCACAGACCCTATCAAACCTCAGAGAAATCACCCTGACAGGAGAAACACACACACACACACACACACACATACTGCAAACCTCCAGTTCAAAGTGAAACTCAGGCAGAGGCCAGTGAATTTAAACTGGTTCTTTACCTTTCGTCTGCAAAAAGAAGTTCTTAAAAGGAACACATCTCATAAACACCAGCTTTATGAGAGAGAGATGAGTGGCTGACTGCGGATGGATTTGTTTGAGAGCAAATGTAGTATACAACGTTGTGGTATTTCCATCTCTGATAGACAAATTCACTAAACAGCCATGGTACTTCAGTGCAAACCCCTATTTATTATTTATAACTTTACAAAATACTTAATACACTTCACCAGTTGACCAAAATAAAAATTGTATCATTATTTACTCACATCTTTTGGTGAAACAACCTTCACACAGCTACATACAACAGCAACATTTTATCTGGCATGTCAAACTCTAGGAACAAACACAACAAAAAGCACTATAAAAAGACATTCATAAGACTTGCATGCTATATAAAGTCAAATACAATAGCTTTGCGTGTTATCACATGTGAAATGCTACATTTGCTGCTCAAGAAACATTTCTTATTAGTATCACACAAATATATATATATATATATATTTTTTTTTTTTTTTTTTTTTTTTTTTTTTTTGTACTTAAAACACACAGAAGATGCTTCAACAACAGTATGTGAAGATTATTTTTGGCCCAACTGTTATTCATCAAGAATGCAGTAAACTGATAAAAAATGTCAGTAAAGAAATTTGGAATACTACATACTACTAATACTACTATTACTACAACTAACAATAGCAACAACAACAGTATATATATATATATACACTTTAATATTGATAATAATATAAGACATGTTTATTGAGCAGCAAATGTAGCATTTTAGAATGATTTCTGAAGGATCATGTGACACTGAAGACGGGTAACAATGCTGAAAATAATATATATTATAAATTACATTTTAAAGCATATTAGCAGAATTATAAATAAAGTTATAAAGTAGTATATAGTAATAATAATAGTATTATTAATAGTAAAAAATTGCTGTTTTTATCATTTTTTATCAAAAGTTGCAGTCTTAAGATTTCTTTAAAAAAAAAAACAGAAAAAAAGATGATGTTTCAAACAATATGAGGCTGTGTAAATGACAGAAATCACTATCATTAAAAATGTACCCTTGGGAAAACCAGAGAAATCCTCCAAAATGAGACTGACATTTTGATGGTGCAGAATAAAAGTGATGCTTCCTTGTGAGAGCATGTCAAGAAGCTGCCTCTTCCAGTCAATCCAAATAATTGGGCATTGCTTTGTTTGGCTTCCGCAAATAACTACAGCGTTATGAGAGACCACAATGCTGGCTAAATTGCCAGTGACCCAGGTCTAGCTAGAGAGAAGAAAAACTAAAATGATCACTGATGGGAAAAGATTAGATGAAGTCAGGCTTGTTCACTGTACAGCTAAAGCAGTGGAATACAGTAGCTCTCATTTTGACATCCATAATGAACGAAATGGAACTAATGCATCTCGACAGTTGTGATGCTGGTGTGAATATTCCAGAACTTCCTGCTATGTTTGATGAAAACATTGAGAAGAACAGCCTGGAGTATCACGAGTCAATGCACATTTGCAGCATGTGTCAATCAACTGTGTTTGTCATCATGAATGACATATATACATTTATTCATTCATTCATTCTGAAGAATTTAGGTTGGAGCTGACTATGAAAATAATTAAATTGAATAATTGAAATAAATATTTATTTAACATATCTATTGTACTTAAATGTAAATAAATAAATACATAATTCATTCATTCTGAAGCATTTAGGTAGGAGCTGAATATTAAATTAAGTTGAATAATTGAAATAAATATTTATTTAACATATATTCATATATTCACTTAAATATACATAAGTAAATAAATTAACTAATTAATTTAATACATTCATAAATTATTATTATTATTATTATTATTATTATTATTATTATGTGAAGGCACTGAAAAATAATTTATAAAAAAAAAAAAGTTTGAGGCCCTATCTTTTTTTTTTTTGGAAAATAAAATAAAATAAAATAAAATAAAATAAAATAAAATAAAATAAAATAAAATAAAATAAAATAAAATAAAATAAAATAAAATAAAATAAAATAAAATAAAATAAAATAAAATAAAATAAAATAAAATAAAATAAAATAAAATAAAATAAAATAAAATAAAATAAAATAAAATAAAATAAAATAAAATAAAATAAAATAAAATAAAATAAAATAAAATAAAATAAAATAAAATAAAATAAAATAAAATAAAATAAAATAAAATAAAAGCATGCATGCACACACACACACACACACTGTAAATAAATTAAAATAAAAAAAATAAAATAAAATATATTTTTTAATTAAATTAAAAGTTTGGGGTGACTCAGCAGTGTTTAATTGGGCCCAGAGCTAACCGATCCAGATGTATGATGCATTCATCTACTGAGAGCGTTCTCTTTCAAACTTGATCATAAGTCGACGTTACTGCTGGAGCTCAGTGAGCTATTGCCAGAGTCAAACACGCTTTCCCCATAAACTCTGCTCCTTCACGTCAGTCTGAAAGGCTCTAATCAAGGCTGTGACAGCTACTGCATGTATTAAAGAGCTGATATCCGAACGCTTTGGTCTGCATCAAAACATTCCCCGTAGCTGTTCTTTGATATTTTCCCAGAAATGTTCCAGAGTGACCTTGTGATCACTTTTCATCTTTTAGAGTATCAATAATTAGCTTGAGCAAGCTTGAGTCATCGTCAGCACTGCCATTATATCTAATAAACTTCAACTAGAGCGGCAGTAACACTCACCATTGATAACCCTTGCCTCATAAGATGCCAAGGCACCTTCTCAGATGAACTCGCAGAGTCAAATTAGTTACGACATGCACCTCATTTCATTCTGACTCTTGAGTTCAGCCATACTCTTAATTGAAAGCGGCTGTGATTAACATTGGGCTTATGCTGCCTCCAAGTCAGGCCGGGACGAGCGTAATTACGTGATGTGCACAAGTGAACGTCACAGTATCAGAATAAGCAGTGGGAACTCTGAGTTGGGGGCGTGTCAATTCAAAAACAATGCCAGAAGCTGATCTTTTTTGATCGAATTTTGACTTATTTTTGCATGCGTTTTGTGTGTATTTTTGATGGCTGGTTTCAAATTGAGTGTTCTCAGGGTTCCTGCACCAGCCAAGTAAACAGAATGCTAAAAGATGGTTATTTTAGGGCCAGTAATGTTTTAGTAATTCTGATGAGTGTTTTATATATATATAGTGTTGGGCAAGCTACTTGGAGCTAAGCTAACAGTTACTCTTCATTAAAATGAAGCAAACTGTGAAATGTAGCAAACTAAGCTACAGCAACATGGCAAAAGTAGTTTACTACATCTAAGCTATTTAAAAATAAAAATGTATATTGAACCAACATCATATCAAGTCAATGCTCAGTGATCAATAAAACTGTCAGTAAAGCAGATAGACAGGCATAATAGTTCAGTTTAATTGTTTATTCAACAACTGTTCCAAACCAATTTGGCAACAAAAATCAGCATCATGTACGGGGCCGGATTTACCTCATATTGTGACATAGGCAAAATACATCATGTACGGGGCCGGATTTACCTCATATTGTGACATAGGCAAAATACATTTTTGATGTCAGCCGGAAACCTCCTATTGGTAGTTGGTATTGTGGCTTTATTGTCTGCAGAATTTGCAGATACATTTATATAAATGGTATCACTTCACAATAAGTTTCACTGGTTAACTAGTGTAGTTAACATGAACTAAGAATTAACAATTCTTCTGCAGCATTTATTAATGTTAATTTCAGCATGTACTAATGCATTATTAAAATCAAAAGTTGTGTTTGTTAACATTAGTTAATGCACTGTGAACTAACATGAACTACAAATGAATGACTGTATTTTTATTAACTAACATTAACAAAGATTAATATATACTGTAATAAATGTATTGTTCATTGTATGCTCATGTTAGTTAATACATTAGCTAACATTAATGACATCTTATTGTATAGGGTTACCACGTAGATGTATAGGCCTACAAATAACTTAGGCTACATTTATTTGCATCGTTGCATGTGTCATTATATTTTTTAACATTTCACCAAAATCAAGTTCAAGTACGAAGTTTTTGACCAGCGGATGTTTTTCCCCCGTCATTAACACCACATCAAAGGCAGTATGGGCATCGCATTTACATTTTCATGAACTTGCAGGTTATACAGGTTTCTGTCGCTATGTGGGCGCTCAGTTTTTTTTGGCCAAATTATCATATTATAAAATATACAGCGCTTTGCACAAGCTATTTGACTGTGACTTGACAACAAATGCTAAGACACTCTTCTTCGCTTCTCAGATACAAAAAAAAAAAAAAACATTAGCCTTTATAAATATAGTGTTTCGAGTAAAGAAAACGCTGTACTTTTTCAATCAACAGATCTTTATGTACCTCCAGACAAGCTGAGATGCTCCAAACTGCACGCCACACTTCATTCATGAGAGAGGCGGGAGGAATAATGAGGTTTGACTGACAGTTTGAGGAGCCAATGGCGTTACGAGGTTTAGCGGCGGTGGCGTCATTTTTGATCCTTAGAAGTTATATTTCTGATTTGAGTTGAGCTTCAGAATGCTTTGGGTAATGTAGCTTTTGTTGACGCTAAATGATCAGTTATTATTTTTGTATGTTATTTAATGAAAATAATAACTGTAATTGTCTCTGCCAACATACACACACACACACACACACAACACCAGTTTGTCTAATGTACATGTTCTGCATATTCTACATATTCAGTTTTGTTTTTCCACTGCTAAACCGCTCCCAGTCTCTGTCGCCAAGTGAAAGAGAGAGAGAAATAAATACAAAATGACCCAATGCTTCCATTATTTCCCCATCCAAACTCACTTCCTTGAGCTTCAGAATGCTTTGGGTAATGTAGCTTTTGTTGACGCTAAATGATCAGTTATTATTTTTGTATGTTATTTAATGAAAATAATAACTGTAATTGTCTCTGCCAACATACACACACACACACACAACACCAGTTTGTCTAATGTACATGTTCTGCATATTCTACATATTCAGTTTTGTTTTTCCACTGCTAAACCGCTCCCAGTCTCTGTCCAAGTGAAAGAGAGAGAGAAATAAATACAAAATGACCCAATGCTTCCATTATTTCCCCATCCAAACTCACTTCATCACATTGTAAGTACGTCCCAGGAGGACCTGAAGTCAGCATTATAGGGATTTCAAGTATGCTCAGTATTCGGTAGCTTAAATTGCTTTACATTTGCATTTACATGTTCATTTATTCTGTTGGCAGACTCTTTGCTTTATTTAAACAATTCACAAGAAAGTGTTTATAATTTATTGTGTGGGTTACTGCCAGCTGGCAGCTTGGGTACAAATTGTAAAATAAGACCAAAATATGTGGTACTGATACAATTGTGATAATATTGAAGAATAAAGTAAGAATTGAGTTGTACCAGTAGAGTACAGTTTATTGTAATTTAATTAAATTAAATTATGTAATGGTACTACAAGTCAAAACTGAAACTAAATACAATTTATGAAACAGATGCTTATGGATTCTGATTGGATGAATCATGTTTGAAGGCGGAGCTGTGTTGCTTAGCAACTTTAAATAGCTTACAATTATGCTGACAAACTACAAAGTCAGAGTACCAAACGTCACCAAATAATTTGCAAAAATATATATATTTTTTCAAGCATATTTTCCAAACACTAACACTGGTCAACAAACAGATCCCAGGACAAACTCATTCCACTGGCTACGACAATGATGAAATCAAACTATACATGACTTATACAGTAGTTAATGGGGCATAAAAACTGTAATCAATATAGAAATATACTAAACATTGAATTCAGTACCAGAAAAAAAAATAAAAATCTAATAACACACTGTAAAACTGGTAAAAATAAATAAAAAATGAACTGCAAGTGGAAAGAATATAATATAATATAATATAATATAATATAATATAATATAATATAATATAATATAATATAATATAATATAATATAATATAATATAATATAATATAATATAATATAATATAATATAATATAATATAATATAATATAATATAATATAATATAATATAATATAATATAATATAATATAATATAATATAATATAATATAATATAATATAATATAATATAATATAATATAATATAATATAATATAATATAATATAATATAATATAATATAATATAATATAATATAATATATGATTTCAGGATGATTAAAAAAATCCTCTCAATGACTGCATTTTTATGGAAAAATGCATTGTATATATATATACATGTATGTATGTATGTATGTTTTATATATGTATATGTATATATACACTTATATATGTATGTAAACACTTCCACAGCATATGGGATTAATTACCTGTCAAATGAGCACAGGTAGAGTCCTGACCCTTCAATATTTACAGGGCTTGAATAAAAATGTTTTATGAATGAGCTGCCTCTGCTTCTGAAGGTTTAATTGCTTAAGTAAAACATATTAAGCCAGTCATTCATTACTCCCTTCAGAAACCACACGTCTTCCTAGTGTCCTTATCATGTTTTTCCCAAACATGCTTTTTTTTTTTTGATGATTCAAATGCCACAGGGATCCATTGCAGTTCAACCCCGGGAGTTTAGTAATGCTCTTACGTCGTCCTCAAACAGAACCGATAACTCATCTCTCTGCGGCGTTCAAGGACAGATCGTTGTTGTGATTAATAGCAAACCGTAATGAATATTCATTCATTTGCACTATCAGACGTCAGGGCATAGTGGCGTGGAACAGCCAAAACATACAATAAATGTTAGTTGTTAAGATGATTGAGGTGAGAAACAAGCCGCTGGTCCTGAGTGATGTACATGTAATTAGCGATTATGTAATATGCTAAGTGTACAAATAGATTTTAGGAATTAGATTCTGGTTTTCTTCCAGTTAAAGCTGCACTTGCCAATTAAATGCATAATTTAATAATTAAATTCAGAAAACATTTTAAATTATATATGCAAATACATTTTCATCCATCCATTCATTTTTTTTGTTTTTTTTTATCATATCACATTTCATGTCTGACATGTTTTTGTTGTCACTAATAAAATCTGCACATTTTTGACTAAGGCTACATTTATTTGATTAAAATTACAGTAAAACTGTGGAAATATTATTGCAATTTAAAATAATTGTTTTTCAATGTGAATATATTTTAAAATGTAATTTATTCCTGTGATGTAAAGCTGAATTTTCAGCATCGTTACTCCAGTCTCACATGATCCTTTTGAAATCATTCTAATATGCTGATTTTATGCAATCAAGAATCATAATTATCCCAGACTTTTGAATGGTAGTGTATAATAACTCCTTTATATTTGTGTCATGTTGGTCTTTTTTGTAGACGATGCTTTAGAAGCTCTAGGTTGCCTTTCTGGTCAGAGTTTGCAGAAGCAACAGGCAGCAGGAATTTCAAAAGACAAACTCTGAAAACAAAGCAGAAACTACACAGTTGCGCTTGAGGAAAAACATTCATTTTGAGTTTTCTAACGGTGTCATTTAGTCAGTGGGACTCAGTGGCAACTTTGAAGCAGCTTGGGGCTGTTGGACAATAATCATCACTTAGAATTGATAATATGCACCGCATGCAGTTGACATGCACCACAGGCAACCTAGAAATGAAAAGTCTGTCATTGTCTTACCTAAATCTGTCTCGATTCAAATTTGTATGTGGAAAGCCATTGACCAGAAGCTTGGAAAACTGCCTGTCAATATGTTGGCCCGCTGGGCTGTGTCTAGATATTGATA